GGCTCCTGGATCTTATTTATATGCAGAGAAAGCCATATGGGGTACACTAGACACATATATATTTGGGCCTAACAGTTGTAGCAGCACCAATGCCTCCCACTGTCCCAGAAATTTATATCCTTCTCCCAGTTCCTCTGTTTCTCCCTATAAGTTGTCACTTCCTTTTGCTTCTGCACAATGTACCTGGGGAGCATCATACAGGGAAGCACAAATCTGCCTCTCAGAGAACAAGTTCTAGAGCCAAGTTACACATTCTGTGTAATTATGTAGCCAAGCCAATAGTTCTACTTATTTTTATGCAACTGCACACAGCCTCAATTTGGACAAGGATACCTTATCCTTATACTGGGATACCTGAAGAAACACCTTCTTCCCTATGTGCCCTCCCGCCCCTTGAGATCTGAGGCAGAGGCCCTCCTCCGGGAGCTCTCCTTGAAAGCGATAAGAAGGGTGGCTACCCAGAGGAGGGCCTTCTCTGTGGTGGCGCCCCGACTATGGAATATGCTCCCCAGAGAGGTTCGCCTGGTACTGATGCTATATTCTATTCAGTGTCAGGTGAAAACCTTTTTATTTTCTCATCATTTTAATGTTTAGATGATTTTAACTGTGGTTTTATTAACTTAGTTGGATGCTGTGCTGCTTTGTTTTGTTTTTATTGTAAGCTGTCTGAGATGCTAGAGGTAAACGGGTTAGAAAAACTTTTAACAAACAAGCAAGCAAACAAACAAACAAACAAACAAATAAATAAGAAAGAAAGAAAGAACCAGTGTGTGCTGGGAATGGAGGGTTCAGTCTTCCAACTGAGGCGCTTCTTTTCTTTGTCTTAACCTCATTCCTATAGGATGGGTGGAATTCTTGGCAGGAAGAAAAGGAGGGGATGGTTAAATTATCCCCTCTGAGTGTTTGCTGGCTCCAGGCTGAATCAAGGCCATGCAGTTACATGGAAACAAAAAATGGGCTCAGCCACACGCTGCGCATTTAACCTAATGGGTCATTTTCATTTCTAGTGTCACTGCCTGAGCACATTTTATTTTAGAAAAGGCCTGGGCCAGAGGCACACTGTTAAGAAGGCTGTTTGTTCTGCTCTAACACAGCATCAGGGCTCCAGAAAATCTCATAAAACCTGGACAGATAATACATTCCCATTAATACCTTCAAGCATTAGCTATAACTTTAGCTTCAATTTGCTAGGTGTGTTACATATTCAGATCCCAATAAATTGCCTCCATCCCCCATGCATGGCATAAGCTGTAACATAGTCAGTATCAGTGGGATAGTGATAAATCTAGGTGTATATCATGATAGTTCCTATAACCACACCCAAAAGGAGAATTCAAATATTCAGTCACCTGCATCTGACAGTACTATCTAAACCAGGAACAGGGGTTTTGTAAAGCAATTGAGTCTAAACTATCTATTCCACACCAAGCCACAGCAAAATTCTTTGTATTACAAAAAGGACACCATACACTGCAGGACTGCCATATCTGCAAGGAATAGGTTTCAAGCCCCCCAGCAGATTCCTGAAACTGTGGATAGGAGCAAACAGGAGATTCATGGGGTTTAGGGGCACAGGACCCCCCAAAAAGTGCAAAACACATGCAAATATCTCTAGGGAAAATGTAAATATCTCTAGAGTTCATGCCTACTGAGAGACAAAACATGTGAGTAAGGCTGACTAGTAGAGACAAAAAGCATAGCATCCCCGAACAGAGTGCATAATTCCCTAGAGATATTGGCAGTTTTTCCACTTCATGGCATCCTGCTCTCCTAACCCTCACAAATGTGGGGGGCTGATAGTCAACCTGGGTTAAGTGAAACCACAGTTAACTGAGAAAGCAGATATGGAGGTTCTGCTGCACTGTAGCTAGAAAAATTCATTCTCCTATACAGGTACTATGAGAATGGCAGCAAAACTGTGAGGGAGCAGGGAATTCTGGGTGGGATGGCAGATGACATCAGCATCCCTGCTAATAAGTGTGTTAGTGTTATAATTCTGCAAACTTCCATTCTACCAATAGTCAGTAGAACATTTTTGGAGCAGAAATGCATATTACCTAATGTTATGAGTGAGCATGTACTAACAATTTGAATTAAAGTTCCAGATTGTTATTTGTGGACTATAACTGTCTTTCAAGAGAAGCACACTTCCTTGGTAAGGAAAAGATATTTCCCAGAAAAATATCAAGCTTTTTGCACTTCAAATTTGGTTTTTCAAAGACTGTAATACTTGGTTCCGAAACCTACCTACAACCGCTTCAAAGTGCCAAAGTGAGAGAGTCTGACTTTTTCTTAAAATCGCTTTTGTGCACAAAAAGCATTTGCAAAATTATTGAATTCTATTATTTAGTGCACCTGTGCAACTGCAGATGTTCACAATTGTGCAACCTCAGGATTTTGGAACCTTGGCTAGATCAATGTTCTGGGTGGTCCCTGCTGCCAAATTGTAGCAGGACCAGCCCTGGGCTTTGCCCCAACAAGGTCAAAATGCTAATTTTCCCCTGTCAAAAGCTAAGCTGTGAAAAGAAACCAGAGATACAAGCAAACTTTTCTTGCTGAAAGGAGAATGGTCTGATTCTCTTGCAGCAAGATCCTTTTTTTTTTCACCCAACAGGGTGAGGCACATTTTGCAGTTTTTTAAGAATATTCTAAATGCTGGGATAGTGCAAAAGTGCACCACCACCCCTTTTCTTGGGGAAAGGAATGCTGACAGCTGACTTTGAGTTCCCTTTAAAATGTTTTTGACTGACATATGGCTAGTCTCAGTCAAAATAAAACTCTTTGCTTTATCAAACCTAGGAGTTTTCACATGTCTATTGGGTGCTTGAATGGAAGAATAACCTTGAAAAGGTGAATACAGGTAGTCCCCAGGTTATGAATATCTAGGTTATGAACAACCTGTGCTTTTGCATGACTTCCAAATGTTTGCTAAACCCTAAAGTGATGCTCATTTTCTGGTATTTCTTCCTTGGATCAGTAGTTGACCTTTATATAATAAACCATAGTAAATACAACTAACCATTCAATTACATTTGCCATACAGCATGCTATTTCGTTGTGTTTCCAGCCCTTGTGTACCTTAGTCAAATTGTGTGAGCTCACATTTTATTCTCCAAGGCTCCTGCTGTGCTTAGGATATTTAGGTTTTACATGCGCTCAAATTCTAACAATTTGTGTCCATGAGGGGCAGTTGAGTTAAAAGTATTATCTTCAAAGTAAGGAAGGAAGCCTATTGAATGAGACATGAAGCCTTTGAACCTCAGTCCCCACCCTGATGGTGAGGTGAAAGGAGCAGCTGTTCCATACTTTGTTTGAGGTGCACTTAATTCACTCTTGAGCAAGATAAACAGGTGTTTGTCAGAGGCTTATTAAGGTTAATAGTGTGGGGGTGAGGAAAAAGGTTCTCATCCTGATATAATGAAAAGCTGCTTCTAATTTTCATGGTCTAAGTATTAATTCACTGATTTAATTCATCCTAAGATTGAAGGAGGCAGCAGCGCCTAGTAAAATAAAGTTTTAACTTTCACAGCAGGAAATAATTCTGTCAGTGGAGAAACAGCCAAATTCATGAAAATCTAGATAAGAAATCTCTAAAGCCACCCTGTTCTTCCTAGTTTGCTCTTCATGTGCTCTCAGGTAGGCACTGAACAAACTGTCCAAATATTTTGAATAAAAATTCTATCAGCCAGTACTCCTAGAAATTTAGCCTTCATGTAAATTCTGAAACTTGACAGACACACACAGACACACAGAGGGACGGACGGACAAGGACCCCTGTATCCACTGACTCAGTTATTGTGGTTTCACTTATCCAAGGCTGACTGTTGGCCCTTGACATCAGTGGGTGTCTGGTGCCCAAGACCCCCATGAAAATGGAAAAACTGCGAATATCTCTAGGGAAATTTGGGGATTTGGCCCTCTCTTTGGGGATGCCATACTCTTTGTTTTAGTACTAGCCAGCCTCACTCATGTGTATTGTCTCTTAGTGGGCATGAAGACACTAGAGATATGCAGAGATTTGCATTTTTCCCTAGAGGTATTCCTGTTTTTTCCACTTCTGCAGGGTTCCTGTGCCACTAAGCCCCACTAAGCATTCACTACTAATTCAGTACTATCCGCAGTTTCAGGCAGGCATCTGAGGGGCTTGGAACCTATCCCCTGTGGATGTGTGTGTGCGGGCACACGAAATAAAAAATGCAATCTCAACTGAAAGTTACCATGTAAATAAATAAATAAATAAATAAAAAGTTACCATGTCTTTTGCATTAAGCCTATGCTCCATGATAAATGCTCCTTGTGGCTCGGTCTGTAGCAATTAATGTACGCCTTTAATGCAATTAAGTGCTGAAGATAAGTTAGGGTGCACTTGGAGATGCATTTTTGCATTTCAACCTCACAACAGGAAATCTAAAAAGTGGCCTTATGGTATTACAGATACACACCTTGTCAAACGGTTTTGGAACAGTAAGGAAAGAAAAAAATGGCACATGCTTTTCCAAATTGTTTATGATCATGTGCATTTTATAGCAGATTTCTAAACTGGAACTGAGTGCTTAACTCAATTTATATTTAACCCACCCATTGGTATGAAACCATATTCTATTAGAAGCTGTCATAATATGAATGTGAAAAAAAAACTTTAAAATGACAACTTTCTACTAGGATTTAAAGCCAACAAACACTGACACAATACTTGAAACAATAAAATAAATATTATCTTGAACAGATCAATGTTCAGAAAATAATGTAATTTTCTGATTGATTTGTCACCCATAGTAGTATAAAAGCATCACTATCAGTTCACTAAACTGGGAGAGATATCATTGTCTTTTAAAGAATAGACTTTTTCTTTTTAAGAAAAAAAGGACAGAAAAAAGATAGTACATGATCAGTGAATTGCTCATTCAACAGTAGTCACAAAATTCAAACATTATGTTTTGGAAATTCTGGTTAGCTGATTACAAATTCCTATTCTGAAAACAACTTAGAACACTTCTCACCAGAGCAGGTGGGGCGTGGGTAGTTTCGCCCATGTCTCTTGGTAAAAGACCGCTGTATTGTTGAGGAAAGACCGTGAAAGATGTTGTTGGCTCTGCGACGAATTCGGTGAGGATTTTCTTGTCCTTCTCTCGAACATCCACGTTCTGACATTGTGTTAGCGTGACATAAATTCTTAATTTTTCATAAAACAAACCACATGACCTTCCTCTTGTATCTTTACGGTGCTGGGCACTACAATGCTATTTTAAAAAACCAGTTTTTTAAAAAATGAAATGCTGTAATACTGGGAGGTGAAGTTTAATTATCAATATTTCAGCTTCTTTTAAAAAACACTTGATGGGTTTGAAAATAGGTCACTCACATCAGTATTGATTGATGGTCAGTGACTTCTTGCTGTACTTGCAATACTTCATGGAGCCCTGAACATACTTTACTATAATATAAGTAACATCTTGATGCACCAAATACACTTACTGCTTCTTATCCATAGCTGGTACTGAAGCAAAGAAGTCTAACCAAGGAACCAGGGCACACTGTACAGAAATGGCTGAATAGCTGAACTTGCCTTCTGTTACTGGATCCAAAATTTGTTTTAAGTTGGCACCTATAACTTTAGAGTTGCTTTTCCAAAAAAAGTCGCAACCAATTTTACACTCCACCTCCTTGACGTTTCTTCTCCTTCAATATTTCATCTCCAAGCCACTTCAACCACTATGCATATTTACATCTTCTTTCAAAAGGCACAGAAGTACTCTGCAATTGCCAAGTTATTGTCATAAGGCTTGTGGAAGTCTTCACTGTTTATTTCTAAATCAGCACTAAGCAAGGCAGAAATATATCGCTGAAATCAGTATACTTTCAAGTCCCACTTCTATCCCACCTGATGTTCCATTCCCTACTCAGGTCAGTGCTGAGCTGATTTCAACAAGGCAACAGAAAATCTAAGCACCAAGATGCTGTTCTTTTTTTAAAAAATGCAGTAAGAAACTATGTATTCTTCCTGTAACAAATTTGCTTTAACTGCTGTTTGAGCTCCATCAAACAGGAGACAGACTGCAGCTGAGCTCTTCAAAGCCAAAATGGCTTTTTCCCTTCAAAGCATTCCAAAACACAAATACAAGAGAACACCTCCCAGGAAAATTCAAGTGCAACACAAATTACAGTGGGAAGGAAGGGAGGGGTTGGAGACCACTGCTGCCTCTAAAACAAACCAGGAAGCTGCGCACTGTCTGTTCTCCTCATCTTATTCAGTACAGGCGAGAGAGAGGAAACTGATTACATAGCTTTACTTGGCAATAACCTCTTTCTATGAAAGATATTCATGTGGGTGTATTCAGATAACCAGTATTTTCCCACAATAGCACATGGACATTTTCAACCGCTGTACAGTGTGAACTTCACTGAACCACACAGAGATTTGCACATTATAATTTTCTGACACGTAAGGTGCATAATCACCACACTTCATTAAGCACATGCATCTTTTAAACTTCCTACACAGAAGTGAGAAGAAATCTTAATTCGGAAAACAACCAGCAACTGTCACTTTGTTGAAAATGTGATCACACAATCAAAGGCAACCAAATCAATTTTTAATCTAAACAGCCAACACATTTTTAGCTGGGGCCCTCTTTCTCAATGAATTTAAAACCTCATTTTGTTCCCTCTACACCCTCCAGAGGTGAAGGCCCACCAGGGACTAGCTGGCCAGTTCTTCTTTTGCTTTTTGCCATCGCCCTCATTTCCAACCCTCCCACCACTGAAACGCAGCCCCCAAAGCTTCTCCTCAGTTGAAGCCTGCCCTTGGGCCCAAAGATGCTCAACACCTCTCTTGCAGGGACGTAGCTGGCCTTCATTATACTTCTGTAGTTGAGCCTCAAAGCGGTTTTAAAATCCAACCCACTTTATCCGTACTATTACTCTATCTGTATATCATAATTCATTGCTCAAGAATATGTGTTACTTTCCTTTAAAGAAATGTTGATAGCTTCTCTGTTAACACCCCAATCTAGTTGATTGGTGAGACTACAAAACTGTGATTTCAAAAAACAAAGGACAGAAAATGATATATTGATCTAAAACTATCCTGATTTAATATCACTGGTGCTTTTATCAAATTCATGTGGCATCTCTGAATGTCATGAATTTGGTAATTTTTCTTTTAAATGGGACATGCACTTAAGCACTTTTAAAGTGAAGAAGAGATCACCAAATCAAATATAATTCAGGAAACCATTCTTAGCGATAAATATAGAAACCATGTGTAAACATACTGTGTTTCCCTGAAAATGAGACCAGGTCCTATATTAATTTTTGCTCCAAAAGACGCATTAGGGCTTATTTTCAGGTGATGTCTTACTTTTTCATGTACAACAATCTACATTTATTCATGTACAAAAATCTACATTTATTCAAATACAGTCATGGAACATTGTCATAACTCTCCAAATCCCGAATTGTGTTGCAACGGATGTACTAAATGTATCCCTATGGCTGACGATCTTAACAGGGGCTTATTTTTGGGGTAGGGCTTATATTATGAGCATCCTGAAAAATCATGCTAGGGCTTATTTTCCAGTTAGGTCTTACTTACAGGGAAACAGGGTAGCATATAATCCAACATTTAATTGTGATTGTCCTAGCCTCATCATTAGCACATCCAGCTTCATCATTACACATCCAGAATGAGTAAAAACATTAACTAGGAGATCATGACAAATACTAGCTCTTCAGAGAATCCTCTCTTCGGATTTAACTTCAGTTAATGCTATTCTGACAAATCCTTTAAGTTTAACTAAGGTACAAGGGAGGAATTTGTACTCCCGTTCTCTTCTCATGATCTCTCAATTACAGTTAGGAAATTCCTGATCCTACAAATGTGTTTGAAACTCTTCATGTACTTGTACAAGTGAAATCATGAAGGCAGGTGTTCTGTACTCTCAAATATACAAAAGATAGACTAGAGGCACATGGATTTCCCACTTTTTCTGATAGACATTTCCACTTCCCATAGGGAATACAAAAACCTTCACAAATAGCAATTGCATTTTTTATGGTTAGGCAAATCTAACATTGCACTGCAGTCCCAACCATAATAAATTCCATTATAGCATTGTTAATGAAACATGCCTACCTACACAAACACATCCCCTATGTATCTCTGAGATGATCTTTCACAGTACCAATTGATTATTAACTGCCATTACTGGACAAACATGGCTGGTAGCTAAAAAGAAAAATAAACCAAAAAATAATCAACAGAAAAGAGACAAGCAGCAGGAAAACAATAAAACAAACAAAATAAATCTAGACAGTTGTAACCTACTGAATTAGGAATTAGTGGCTGATGCAATCAAGATTCAAATAGGGCTGAGGTCCACCTTTACAGTTTATCAAGTGATACTTCGTGGCTTCCTGATGGCTGATTGTTTTTCACTTGTATACATCCTGTTTAAAATATTAGTTCCTGGAGAAGTTCAGACAGCTGCACTTCGGAGAGCCCTTATGGTAGAAAACACTGGCAGGGAGTAACTCAGTACATATTTGTCATGTAGTTAAATGCATACATGGAGCTATTGAAATGTAATGTGCTGCTTCCTGCAAAATATTACAGGTAGGTGTGCTTTCCACACAAATAGCTACTTCCAGCAAAGGTGTGGCAAAGTACAGGCTCTGCAATCTGCAGCAATTCTCAGCAGAGCTGGGAAAGTCTCCTCTGGAGAGCTGCCAGTCAGTACGGATGAACCAAAGGTCTGCTAATATAAGGCAGCTTCATATGTTCATGCATACTTGTTCCGCCAGTGATCCCTGAAGAAAGGATACATGCAAGAACAGTAAGAAACAATGTCTTTTGTATAGCACAACCATTAATTAGATCTTACACAGATGAAAACTGAAAATTACAGGATACTTTATTGTTACCAGAACTATTTGGCATGTTTGAGGGGGCAGTGAAAATTTAACTGCAGTGATGATGTAACTGGGGGTACATGAATTTAAATTTCTTAAGTGCATAGAAATGATCACAGTGATGGTGCCTGCTCATAAGCTAGAGGGTAAATTGATTGTGTGACATCAAAAAGGGTGTGTGTGAGAGAGACAGCTTTTTTCTGACTGGCTGCTGACCTTTACAGTAAAAAGAAAATGAAACATATGCAGGGCTTCTTTTTTGTCTTTACCTAACAACCACCACCAAGCTAATTAGCAGTTTGAAAGAAGCAATATCCTACAGTGTTAATTGGAAGTGCTAAATAAACTGTACCTGATCTCCTCTTTCATCTGTGCTAAGGAGGAAAAAATGCAGTGAGACTTAAACCAACAAGGATGCTTCACTAGTTTGCCAATAAGTCCTTTTGACATTTTCTACAAAATGGTCAATTCTATTAGCAATACAGCCTTATCTCTCTAACTGATATAAAAAGAACTCTACAGCAAGAGTGACTCTTTCCACAAAAATATTGGTTTGGGTTTGTTTGTTTTTTTAAATTTCCAGCACCTTTAAATTGGCCAATAGCTGTTCCTAAGATTTTCTTCACTACTCATAAAAACAGACCTGTATCTGTTGCTGTACAATGGAGACACGGATGGTACAAAGTTAATACTACTGTATCATAAAACTTGAGGCTCCCCTGCTCCAAAATTCAAGAGATTCTGATAGTAAACTTACTGCAGAAAGACTGCAACATAGGCCTTACCAAGATTGTGTTACTTTTAGGTATCACAAATGAACTTCATGACCACTTTTGGAAACACCCCCATTTAAAAAAATTCTTACACCATAAAATATTTGGTTTGATTCAGATGAAATATTCCTGCTGACCCACTAAACTAAGGATAGACACTATGGATTCTGTCCTCACCTGATGTGCTCTTCCCTCCACTCCCTTCCTTGACTTGCTGGTGTGATCAAACCACAGCTTGTCCAGTGCAGTTGCAGAATGAGACCAAATGAAGAAGTGAAGTCTAGGGTCTGAACATGCAAAGGAACAAGCATGCAAGCCTAAAACTTGGCATAAAACGTGGCACAATGACCAATCCATGGTTTGGCCATTACACATGAACTGAGCAAAACAAATGAAAGAAGCTACAAACAGAGAACTTACACACACACACACACACACACACACACACACAACACTCAGAGGGAGGGAGGGAGGGACTAGGTTCGCATAACAAGAGTTTTTTCCACTGCTTGTGGTTTTTGGCCTGAGCTTAATGGTTAAATGATTACGTGGTTACTGAAGCAGTGTGATTTCTGCATTCCCTGCCCCATCTTCCCATCCTGACCAAACTTCCTGGTGGTCCATTGAGCACAATGCCCATTTTTTCCTGATTCTGGCCTATGGACCACAGCAGGTTGCTCCTGATTGTCTACCCTGGTCCTGAGGTGGGTGCTCCCCTCCCCCTCCCAAGTGTACCTGCATGTCTGTGGCACTTCCCAGCCACTTCAGCTCCCTAATGATTTTTATTAAATGAAAATAAACAGTTTCACTGTGATTCCTCTTTTGTCCTCCCTGTATTTTCATGCTGTCTCCATTTCCAAAAGTAACAGGGAGACAGACACATTTCTTGGCCAATGGGAATACAGCAAGCAATGAGTCATCTGTTGCTAGGAAGCCGAGGGCACTGCACATCAAAGGACAGAACTGGTCACTTCCACAGCCTCTCTTGAAGGGGACTTTTTGGTATTTCTATATCAACAATGGTAAAATGGAATTTCTAGATCCAGATGACCAGAAAAACTGAAGTGTGGAACGGACTGTTGATTCTCTCTCTGGTTTGTACCACGCAGGAGATCTTGAGCTGGACAACACAGAGATTCATATTGGTAAGACTTCACCATGGCTTCTTACGTTGAATAAGCCTGATCAGTATCTGTGATGCTTCATAATGTAATGATAAACCATGATTTAGCACTAGAGATTCATAAGAAAGTATTTTGTCCTCATGATGTGGCCTCTGAAATTCAAGTATTGTGATGCACCATTTTCTTTTTCAAATACCACAGGATTTTTTTTTAACCTGTCAAAGTTCAACACAGTATTAACACAATAGTTAACCACTGCT